ACATTAATTCTGTCCATCTCTTCTTTCTCTGTCCTTTCCTTGTCATACTCTATTGTTTCTGCTTGTTGCTTTTGCCCCCTGTCACTTTTCTTTTATTAGGACAGTCAGTGGCATGACCACCTCTAGGGATCCTTCTTCCAGAAAGGTCCAAAACAATGGGGTGGCTTTAGGAAAAGGAGGAAGGGTGACACCTGCTGGAAGAACCACTGGTGGTTCTGACTCCAGCTCAAATCCCCCTGGGAAATGTACACACACACACACACACACACACACCCTTCTCAGATTATCGGGGAAACAATGTTCACAGAGTCCAACAAGGAACTCTGGAATCCTGGACAAGACCAGGAAAAACAACTAACGTTTACTGAGTGCTAACCTTTGCCACATGGTTTACAAGTGTTACCTCTGTTAAACCTCACAACTACTTTGAAATATGCATTATTACTCCAATTTTCAGACATGAAAATAGGCTTCAGCCCAAGGTCGTAACTATTTACAGGTGGCATTGCATTTAAATCTAGGGCTATCAGAATTCTTATCCCCTAAGCCATAATGCCTGCTCTTAAGATGAGGGTACTTCAAAAAGCTCATGGGATAATGGAATTAAAGATAAGATTATTTTGGGCCAGCGCCATGGCTCACTTGGCTAATCCTCCACCTGTGGTGCTAGCACCCTGGGTTCTAGCCCTGATTGGGGCGCCGGGTACTAGTCTTGGTTGCTCCTCTTCCAGTCCAGCTCTCTGCTGTGGCCTGGGAGAGCAGCGGAGGATGGCCCAAGTGCTTGGGCCCCTGCACCCGCATGGGAGACCGGGAGGAAGTACCCGGCTCCTAGCTTCGGATGGGTGCAGTGCCACCGTGGCAGCCATTAGGGGAGTGAACCAACGGAAAGAAGACCTCTCTCTCTCTCTCTCTCTCACTCACTCACTGTCTATAACTCTTTCTGTCTGTCTCTCTCTCTCACTGTCTAACTCTGCCTGGCCAAAAAAAAAAAAAAAAAGAAAAAGAAAAGATTATTTTGGTGTAAAAAAAATCTGAAAAAGAAAGGTCTTCAAAAAGTTCAGCTGCTCCATTCCCGACCCAGCTCTCTGCTATGGCCTGGGAAAGCAGCATAAGACAGTTCAAGTCCTTGGGCCCCTGCACCCGTGTGGGAGACCCCGAGGAAGCTCCTGGCTTCAGGTCGGCACAGCTCCAGCCATTGCAGCTCTCTGGGGAGTGAACCAGCAGATAGAAGACCTCTCACTCTCTCTCTCTGCCTCTGCCTCTCTGTAACTCAGCCTTTCAAGTGAATAAATATTTTTAAAAAATAAAGAGAAAGGAAGGAAGAGACAAAGAGGCAGGCATGGATATCAAAATTTTTTCTACCAAAGTAAAATATAAATATCCTCTCGTTTGCAATATTTTTTTTTCTTTTCGACAGGCAGAGTGGACAGTGAGAGAGAGAGACAGAGAGAAAGGTCTTCCTTTGCCGTTGGTTCACCCTCCAATGGCCGCCGCTGCAGCCGGCGCACCGCGCTGATCCTGGCAGGAGCCAGGAGCCAGGTGCTTATCCTGGTCTCCCATGGGGTGCAGGGCCCAAGCACCTGGGCCATCCTCCACTGCACTCCCTGGCCATAGCAGAGAGCTGGCCTGGAAGAGGGGCAACCGGGACAGAATCCGGCGCCCCAACCGGGACTAGAACCCGGTGTGCCGGCGCCGCAAGGTGGAGGATTAGCCTATTGAGCCACGGCGCCGGCTAAATATATCTTTTAATTCCATTTTCCACAAACTTCCTAAAACACCCTCACACAAATGTATGTATGTATATAAATTATATTCATTTGTGTGTGTATAATTTTCCTCTTACGAATGCTAATTATATATCTTAAAGGTAAATACATAACAATTGATTAAAAAGGTAGTGTGGCAAACCATAACAGCTCTCAAACATTATCCCACAAACTCCTGAGGTTTCCAAATCCCTCCCTGACATCTTCCCAAAGTTTTGTTTACACAGAAGAGAAGCTACACTGAGGGTTACTAAGCAGAGATAAAGAAATAACAGGCATCAGGATTAACAGTGCTAGAGAACAGGAAGGAAGGAATGTAGGCTACTCAGGAGTTGACATGCTGAGCTAATGGAAAAAACACTTTTCAGTCTAATAAGCAGAAGCACAAGCTTAATAAACTATATGTGGTCTAAAACAACATTTCCATTTTATAGTGATTTTGTTTCCAACTAAGAAAATTAATTAATGCCTGTTGAGGTGGCCTGTCATGTACAGAAAGAGGAATTATTGCTGTGGCTCAAGCTAAGCTTCCCAGGAAAAAAAGAAACTGTTGGCAAACCTAACTTGCCTCTCCTCAAAGGCCTGTATTTTCAAATCAGAAGACACGCAGCCCTAGAAGACATAGGACAGGGCCGAGTGGCATGTGTGCTTACCGGCAGTGCCAAGTATCACAGAGAAGAGAACAAGCCAACACCACCAACAGGACACCTCCAGCTAGGCTCTGCTTCCTTACCTACGCCCCTGCTCCACATCGTCTCCTTGTGGACTCACACTTTGAAGCTTATTAGACTTAACTGGTTAACCAGTCATCAAGATGAGATCCATGGATTCAAGGACTCAGCCTGACCTTGAGTCAGTCTCGGTACAGGTGATTCACAGCTGAGAGGCTAATGCCAGGTGCTCCCAGAGAATTTCGCAGTTGACCCTGGGACTCCCCAGGTGAATTTGAACTTCAAAGCAAGTTTAGGACAGATTACATTAGATCAGTCTTCCCAGGGCAGGCATTCAACAGAAAATCTCCATTTTTAGTACCCAAGACAGGACTACACAGCATTCAATTATGAGAGAGAAAAGATAATTCCAGAAGCCACATCCTCAAACTCCTCATTATGTTGTGGACACACTGCTTCTCATGCCCACTATTTACTCAAGGAACCAGGAGTAGAAAAGGAAAAGCCCATGCCACCCCCATGTTCTGCATAGCCCTGGTGGAAGCCCGTGTACCCCTGTCCCCCCCCCCCCCCGCCCCTTTTATTTTTAAAGATTATTTATTTGAAAGGCAGAGTTAAAGAGAAAAGAAGAAAAAGAGAGATCTTCCATTCACTGGTTCACTCCCCAAATGGCCACAATGGCCAGAGCTGGGCCAGTCCAAAGCCAGGAACTGCATCTGCATCTCCCACGTGGGTGCAGCGGCCCAAGCACTTGAGCCATTGTCTGCGGCTTTCCCAGGCACGTTATTAGGGAGCTGGATTAGAAGTGGAGCAGCTGGGCATCAAGCCAGCAGAGGCTTTTCCTGCTAGGCCATTGTGGTGACCCACATGTGCCCCTTCTCTATGTTATCTGAGGCCTCCTCATGTGGACTCCAGACCTCTGCTGGGAGAGCACAGGTCATAACAGGCCCAGCTATAATCTCTGCAGCTGCCTCTGTCTGCCTTCCATCACTGTTTGGCAAGGAAGAATACAGAACACAGGCAGAGCTAAGTATAAAATGACACGCAAGAAATTCTCCAACTAGGTTTGGAGGATCAAGGTCAAAATACAGTATTCTTGTCTTCTCATTGACCAAGAGGTAAAGACGTTTGCTATATTTTCTTGTACACGCACACAGGAATGGGTATGGTTTAACAAATTAAACTTCTCCCTTTACTGCCACGCTCAAAAGAGCAAACATAGCTAACACCATGACCAGTTGTTGATCAGACACAGGCCTTGGTCTGTGGAATACTACTGGTTTCTGTGTTTCTGCGAAAATGTACAAACTAGATCAAGTATACTTGTTAAGATGGTTTATCATTAGAAGTTCCAGTGGGGGCTAACACTACGGTGTAGCAGGTTCAGCTGCCGCTTGCGATCCCAGCGTCCCATACTGGAGCACTGGTCTAAATCCTGGTTACTTCAGCTTGCTGCTAATGCACCTGCGAAGGGTGTGGAAGATGGTCCAAGTACTTGAGCTCCTGCCATTCCTGTAGGAGACCTAGATGGAGTTCCTGGTTCCTGGTTCAGCTTGACCCATACCTAGCTGTTGCAGCCATTGAGGGAGTGAACCAGTAGATATTAGGTCTCTTTCACTCTGCCTTTCAAATGACTTAAAAAAAAAAAAAAAAAAAAAAATAAGTCCCTATGTACAACAGCAGGCAAGAAGAAATACTCGGAACAGCACTGAGATATACCAGTTTTCAGTCACTCCTTTTAAGCTTGTTCTGATAACTTTTACAACATGATCCAATAGCAGAGTAAGAAGATGGGGCTACTTGTCTCTTAATATCCAAATGCTCTGTCCCACCATTGTGTATTAATAAACAATAATGTTGATGGCAAAGCCATATCCACTTTTATGGGAAAAAATAGTCTGAAGAGTAGCTACTGCATGTGGGCAGTGGAAAGATAGTTCTAGACTTAGAATAAGGTAAGTTCACATTGTGAGGCCAAAACTTCATATCTACAGCTAATGGTCTCTAAATTAATTGATAAAATCTAGTTTTAAAAATTTTGTTCATTTTCTTTCAAAGACAAAGATCTTCCATCCTCTGGTTCACTTCCCAAGTGCCTGCAATAGCCAGGGCTGGATCAGGCCAAAGCCAGGAGCCCAGAACTCAATCCAGGTCTCCCATGTAGCTAGCAGGGATCTGAGTACTTGAGCCATCATCTGCTACTTCCCAGGGAGCACACCAATAAGAATTTGAATCAGAATGGCTGGACTTGAACCAGCCATTCTGATATGGGATATGGGCCTTCCAAGCAGCATCCCATGTGCTGTGCCAATTGCCTGTCCCAACATGTGCTTAATGCCTACTCTGCTTTCTCCCAAGTCTGTATGGAAGATAAAATGAGAATATGTATGGAAATTGTAAAAGGCTACTAAAGCATGTCATTATTAGGGTCAGCACTATCCTTGGTATGGCTGAGGACTGTCTAGAATTTAGTCACTCATAAAACTTTAAGATCTAGTGGTCCAAATATGCAGGCTTCCCCGATCTCACTTTCAAACAGCCTGCCCTTGGATGATGAGCTTACCTCGGTGGAGGGGAAGACTGTTCAGCTCTTGGGATGTAAATTCACTGATGCAGACAAACAGCCTCTCTCCCTCTTTTAGGCTTGGAATGGTTACAATTTCCACAAAACTGCTAGGGAACTGTCCTGAAAATAAAGCAAACACACATTGATATTGAATTTTTTTCTTAATATTGAAACTTGTTTTTCTGTCTATGAGAACGGACAAAAACTTGTTTCTGAGCCCATTCATAGGCCCTGAATTGAAAATGCACTCCGTATTTACGACTGGAGCCTCTATTGTAGAAAAGGTACAGCACCCAAAGTAAGATGTGTGCAGAACCCAGAGACCGCGATTCGATTCAGCAAGCATTCATCAGGCGCCACTCTATGCGAGACGCACTGCGGACGGAGATGTGAATAAACAGTCAGTCTTCAAAGATGTGGAATCTAGTTCACACACAAAGTCTGATTCAGAGAAAAGTAATTCAATCTTGAGATCCAGTGTCACAACATAGGGACACAAACTGCTACAGAAGATCAGAGAAGACAGATAATAGGTCAGAAATAACACAAAAATTATATGAGAGAGACAGCATTTGAGTCTGAAGATGAGTAGGGTTTTAATGAGTGGTGGTAGAAAGGCAGGGTCTGGCAGTTGGAAAGAATAAGAAAGCCTGACTGAGTCTCCCTTCAAAACAACTTCCGTGCCTGTCCACTCATCCCCAGAGCTGCCCCGTGGTCCAAGCAAGCACCCTCTCTCCCCTGGACAACCGCATAAGCCCCTGGCCTGCGCCCTGCCTTCAGCTCTGCCCCCTCCTCTGGCCCGTCAATCTGCAGCAGTGGGTTTCTCACTTCCTTAACTTCTCATCAGGGCTTCCTCCCTCCATCTTCCATGATCAGCCTCTGCTCACCACCTCACGCATGCTTAATGACTTATTCAACTTCCCTCAGCCCCTCCATGTTCTCTTTTGTTTCAGGGTGAAGTGTTCCCCTGTGCCTGTCCTCTGCCTTGCCATCTAACTCCTACTCATCAGTTTGGTCTCAGCAGGGATGTTGTGGCTACTGGGAAGTGATCTAATTATCTCCTCACTGCGCTGGAGTGTCAGTGGAGTCTGCTCTCGGGGCTGTTTCACTTACTGCAACCCAGACTTACATACGTATGTGCAAGTTATGGACTGGATTAATACAGCTGCATGATGTGGCAACACTTCCACCCTTCCCTAGGCCAACTGATGAAAGAAACCGATGTTAGCATATATTTTTTTTAGCTTTTTTATTTATTTATTTATTTTTTAACTTTTATTTAATGAATATAAATTTCCAAAGTACGGCTTATGGATTACAATGGCTTCCCCCCCCATAACGTCCCTCCCACCCGCAACCCTCCCCTTTCCCACTCCCTCTCCCCTTCCATTCACATCAAGATTCATTTTTGATTCTCTTTATATACAGAAGATCAGCTTAGAATACATTAAGTAAAGATTTCAACAGTTTGCTCCCACACAGAAACATAAAGTGAAAAATAATAGATGATTTTTTTAAATGATGATAAAATCAGATCGGACCTATTGTCATGTTTAATCCCAGTGAGAGTCAAGTTGGGAATTGATAATTTCTTCTTCTTCTTTTTTTTTTTTTTTAAAGAAGATCAGTTTAGTATACATTAAGTAAAGCTTTCAACAGTTTGCACCCCCATAGAAACACAAAGTGAAATATACTGTTTGAGTACTCGTTATAGTATTAAGTCTCAATGTACAGCACATTAAGGACAGAGATCCTACATGAGGAGTAAGTGCACAGTGACTCCTGTTGTTGACTTTACAAATTGACACTCCTGTTTATGGCATCAGTAATCTCCCTATGCACCAGTCATGAGTTTCCAAGGCTATGGAAGCCCCTTGAGTTCTCCGACTCTTATCTTGTTTAGACAAGGTCATAGTCAAAGTGGAGGTTCTCTCCTCCCTTCAGAGAAAGGTACCTCCTTCTTTGAAGACCTGTTCTTTCCACTGGGATCTCACTCACAGAGATCTTTCATTTAGGGTTTGGTTTGGTTTTTTTTGTGTTTATTTATGCCAGAGTGTCTTGGCTTTCCATGCCTGAAATACTCTCATGGGCTTTTCAGCCAGATCCAAGTGCCTTTAGGGCTGATTCTGAGGCCAGAGTGCTGTTTAGGACATCCGCCATTCTATGAGTCTGCTGAGTATCTCACTTCCCATGTTGGATCACTCTCCCCTTTATTTATTCTATCGGTTAGTATTAGCAGGTACTAGACTTGTTTATGTGCTTCCTTTGACTCTCAGTCCTTTCATTATGATCAGTTGTGAACTGAAATTGATCACTTGGACTAGTGAGATGGCATTGGTACATGCCACCTTGATGGGATTAAATTGGAGTCCCCCTGGTATGTTTCTAACTCTACCATTTGGGGCAAGTCAGCTTGAGCATGTCCCAAATTGTACATCTCTTCCCTCTCTTATTCCCACTCTTATGTTTAACAGGGATCACATTTCAGTTAAATTTCAACACTTAAGAATCACTGTGTATTAATTACAGAATTAAACCAGTCATATTAAGTAGAACAGACAAAAAAAAAAACTACTAAGAGGGATAATGTATTAAGTTGTTCATTAACAGTCAGGGCTATGCTGATCAAGTCACCGTTTCTCATAGTGTCGATTTCACTTCAACAGGTTTCCTTTTTGGTGTTCAGTCAGTTGTCACCAATCAGGGAGAACATATGGTATTTGTCCCTTTGGGACTGGCTTATTTCATTCAGCATGATGCGTTCCACGTGCAGAATCATGAAGCAAGACCCCTACCTTACACCTTACACAAAAATCCACTCAACATGGATTAAAGACCTAAATCTACGACCTGACACCATCAAGTTATTAGAGAACATTGGGGAAACCCTTCAAGATATTGGCACAGGCAAAGAATTTCTGGAAAAGACCCGGGAGGCACAGGCAGTCAAAGCCAAAATCAACTATTGGGATTGCATCAAATTGAGAAGTTTCTGTACTGCAAAAGAAACAGGAGAGTGAAGAGACAACCGACAGAATGGGAAAAAATATTTGCAAACTATACAACAGATAAAGGGTTAATAACCAGAATCTACAAAGAGATCAAGAAACTCCACAAAAACAAAACCAACAACCCACTTAAGAGATGGGCCAAGGACCTCAATAGATATTTTTCAAAAGAGGAAATCCAAATGGCCAACAGGCACATGAAAAAATGTTCAAGGTCACTAGCAATCAGGGAAATGCAAATCAAAACCACAATGAGGTTTCACCTCACCCCGGTTAGAATGGCTCACATACAGAAATCTATCAACAACAGATGCTGGCGAGGATGTGGGGAAAAAGGGACACTAACCCACTGTTGGTGGGAATGCAAACTGGTCAAGCCACTATGGAAGTCAGTCTGGAGATTCCTCAGAAACCTGAATATAACCCTACCATTCGACCCAGCCATCCCACTCCTTGGAATTTACCCAAAGGAATTTAAACTGGCAAACAAAAAAGCGGTCTGCACCCTAATGTTTATTGCAGCACAATTCACAATAGCCAAGACCTGGAACCAACCTAAATGCCCATCAACGGTAGACTGGATAAAGAAATTATGGGATATGTACTCTTTAGAATACTATACCGCAGGAAGAAACAACGAAATCCAGTCATTTGTAACAAAATGGAGGAATCTGGAACACATCATGCTGAGTGAAATAAGCATATATTTTAATTAATGAAAGGCGGCCGGCACTGCGGCTCACTTGGCTAATCCTCTGCCTGCGGCGCCAACACCCCGGGTTCTAGTCTCAGTTGGGGGGCCGGATTCTGTCCTGGTTGCTCCTCTTTCAGTCCAGCTCTCTGCTGTGGCATGGGAAGGCAGTGGAGGATGGCCCAGGTCCTTGGGCCCTGCACCTGCATGGGAGACCAGGAGGAAGCACCCGGCTCCTGGCTTCAGATGGGCGTGGCATGCCAGCTGCAGCACGCTGGCCATAGCGGCCATTTTGGGGGGTGAACCAACGGAAAAGGAAGACCTTTCTCTCTGTCTCTAACTCTGCCTGTCAAAAAAAGAATGGAAGGCAACTGGTGCATGGATGGGGGTAGACAGGGAGCATCCAAGGGTAAAGGGTGAACTGTGGACCCAGGAAGGAGTGACCAAGATGGCTCCTGTTCCATTAAGAGTGAAAGGAAGGGAAGAAGACAGCTACAGATACAAGGTGGAGAGCACTTTCTGTGTCACAAGTCAGAGCTAAGCCTGGTTGTGAGAAGCCAATAGTGGGGGCCAGCACTGTGGCATAATGGGCAAAGCTGCCATCTGCAGTGTCAGCATCCCATATGGGCACCAGTTTGAGTCCCAGTTGCTTTACTTCCAGTCCAGCTCTCTGCTATGGCCTGGGAAAGCAGTGAAAGATGACCCAAGTTCTTGGACCGCTGCACCCACATGGGAGACCCAGAAGAAGCTCCTGGTCCCCGACTTCAGATCAGCCCAGCTCCAGCCGTTGCAGCCATCTGGGTAGTGAACCAGCTGATGTTAAGACCTCTCTCTCTCTCTCTCTGTGCCTTTCCTTTTCAAATAAATAAATAAATCTTAAAAAAAAAAAAAAAGCCAATGGTGAGTGACAGAAGTCCTGAAGAAAAGAATAACACATATTCTAAGAAGAGAATCGGCAATGAACATAAAGGACAAGGACCTAGGATGAGAAAGGGAAAGACATGGACAAAAGACTGGGCTGAGGGCAGCTGGTACCTAACCATTCAACCACCTGCAGGAGTTGGTAGGAGAGAGGGAATGAGAGACACCACAGTATGAGAAACTCATTGCCCTGGGCTTCTCATTTAACTTTTTTTTTGTATAAGCTTTATTTATTTATTTGCTACACAGAGTGATTAGACCAACAGACACATACACACACCACACACACACACACACACACACACACACACACAGAGAGACTAAGAGCTCACATTCACTCCCCCAAATGCCCACAACTGGGAGTGGGCCCTTACCTGTAACATCTTCCTTCTTTCCTAGAAGCCAAAATTCATCCACCACTGCCAGCACCTCAATGATATCTCCCACAAAGAGCGGAAGCTCTTCTGATACACTGGGGCAGAAGTCAAAGATGGCACGAACCACCGAACCAGCCTCCATGTCTTCCAACCTGGAAAGAGTGATCAAAAGAAACAGACAGCATCAATATCTAAGATAGTGACATACAGATCTATCTTTTTTAAAAAAATATTTTACCTTTTATTTTTCCTCTATTTCTTATATTTATTTGACAGGCAGAGAGAAGGAAAGAGAGAGAGCAAGAGAGCGAGAGATTGAGCTCCCATTAGTTCATTTCCCAAACATCGTCAACAACCAGGGCTGGGCCAGGTGAAAACCAGGAACGAGAACTCACCAGGCTCAGTCCCCACGTGGGTGGGCAGAGACCCAAACACCTGGCCTGTGGCCCGCTGCTCCCCAGCAAGGGCATTAGCAGGCAGCTGGAGCCAGGACTGGAACCCGGGCACTCCAATGTGGGAAGTGAGCACCCCAAGAGGCACTTAACCACTGCACCAAACACCTCCCCCAGATTTATTTCTCAAGAATCATAAATCTTAAGATATAGTTATTTACAGTGAAGTCAAATCTAAGGAAATGTTGGTACTTTACTCCCACGTTTATCTGCTTTGAAATGGTACTTTTCCCATATACTTTTCATTTAATTCTCAAAGTAAATCTGAAATTGAAAGACAAAAAGTGACCTACCTGTGAGTGACAGGAAAGATTCAAGTAGGCAAATGTGGGTTTTCCAGAGTGCCTGCAGAGGGCAGTAAGGAGATGAATGTTTTTAAAGCCCCAGATAACACAGTAACTTAAACATACAGTATTCAAAAAGCAGGGACTTTAAATATGGCATTTTATTTATTCCTCATAACCATTTTAAATATTCAGAATACCGAGGCTTGGCAAATGTTGAAAATTTAATTTGTCCAAGACCACAGAGCTCATAGGAGCAGGCCCAGGACTCGGACTGCAGGCCTTCTCACTCCTACACACTGTGTCTGCACAGAACTAACGTGGAGGTCAGGTAACAGGCACCACAATATAGACAGGAAGACGAGTAGAGCGTTCTACAGCTCAGCAGGGAGACCATCGTTTGCAACCATTCACACATTTCATGAAAATGAGAAGAGATGAGTCTGAATGTTCCCAACATAAGGAAATTATAAATGTTTAAGGGACTAGAAATGCCAATTACCTTGATTTGATCACTGCATACATGCGTCAGATTATCACACGCTACCCCACAAATGTGTCCAATTATGTATCAATTTAAATTTAAAAATTATGTGGGGATGAGCATTTGGTGCAGTGGTTAAGACACCACTTGGGGCACACATATCCCATTGTCCAAGTGCCTGGGTTTCAGTTTGGACTTCGCTTCCAATTCCAGCTTCCTACTAATGCACACCCTGGGAGCAGCAGGTGATGGCTCAAGCATTTGGGTCTTTGCTCTCAAATGGGAGACCTGGATTGAGTTCTGGCTCCTGGCTTGAGCCTAGCCTCGCCCTGGCCATTGTGAACATTTGGGAAGTGAACCAGTGGATGGAAGATTCTCTGTCTCGCTCTCTTTCAATCTTGCCATCTCCTTGCCTTTCAAATAAAATAAATAAATAAATATTTAAAAATACAGTGTTGTGGCATAGCGGTAAAGCCACAGCCTATCACAATGGCATTCCATGTGGGTGCCAGTTTGTGTCCCAGCTGCTCCACTTCCAATCCAGATCCCTGCTAATGGCCTGGGAAAAGTACTGGGAGATGGCCCAAGTGCTCAGGTCCCTGCCATCCATGTGAGAGACCTGGATGAAGCTCCTGACTCCTGGATTCAGCCTGGCCCAGCCCTGGCTGTTCACTTGGGGAGTGAGCCAACAGATGGAAGATTCTCTCTCTTTTTCTCAAATAAATCTTTGGGGAAAAAAAAAAAAAAAACAAAAGCAATGCAACCTAAAGAACAGCAGCAGGACTACACCTCAGAGGCCACAAAATTTAAGACACAGTGAAAAACAAAAATCCATAATGAGCCAGAAATGGCTATATAACCCAAACAGATTGAGTACCCTGTATCAGCTCAAGTATGTGTTTTCAGTTCCAAGAGGTCTGTGACCCGACCTTGGAGAGTGTTCTGCCCTGTTATGGTGTCTGCTATAAGGAGAAGATGTGTCCATTACTGTGATGTGGGCAGCCAGAAGCCTAAGTTAACTTAGGTACTTCAGAAAGTTCACAGATGGGGCCAGCATTGTGGCACAGCACATTAAGCTGCTGCCTGCAGCGCTGACATCCCATATGGGCTTCAGTTCAACTCCCAGCTGCTCCACTTCCCATCCAGCAACCTGCTAATGCTCCTGGGAAAGCAGTGGAAGATGGCCCAAGTGCTTGGGCCCCTGCACCTGTGTGGGAAATCCAGAAGTTCCTGGCTCCTGGCTTCAGCCTGGACCAGCCCTGGCAGTTGCAGCCATTTGGGTAGTGAACCAGCAGATGGAAGACTTCTCTCTCTGCCTCTCCCTTTCTGTAATTCCACCTTTTGAATAAAGAAATAAATCTTAAAAAAAAAAAAGTTCATGGACAACGGAATTAAAAGATGCTTTAGTGTGGGGAGCAACTCGGACTAGACTAAGTTACTGGAATTAAGACTTATTCTATGCATCTGCTCTCCCACAATATGGCGCTGGGAGAGGAGGCAACAGCTTCTACCCAGCTGCCTCTCACCAACTTGAGAAGCTGCAGGAGCTGCTCCTGATTGGAGGAGAGCAGCGTACTCGGCGTGTGGGCAGCCGAGTTAAGATTGGTGGAGGAGGACTATAAAGGAGGAGAGAGACGGCATGCACCAGGAACATCTAAGGGGAACATCTAAGAGGAACATCTAAGGGAACACCTGTGCAGCCCCCAAGAGAGCCGGCCGGCGATGTGCCGCTCCCCTGCAGAAGTGGGGAATGTGGCCAGGGGGAACTGCCCTTCCACGGAGGTGGAAGGGATAGTAGCCAACCCGGGAAGAACCAGCAGCAAACCCGGGGAGGGCCGAGCAGACGAAAGAACAGTGCAGGGTCCTGTGTCGTTCCTCCACGAAGAGGGGGAGCGACATAATGGTGCCATGACTCGGATATGAAGCCTAGGCAGGGCTTAGTGTCATTCCTCCATGAAGACGGGGAGCGACACTTTAGGGATGAGCATGTGGCACAGCAGTTGGGTCATCGCTTGGGTTGCCTAATTCCATATCAGGGTGCTTGGTTTGAGTGCTGGATATCCTACTTCCAATCCAGCTTCCTGCTCACGCGCATCCTGTGAAGCTCAAGTACTTGGGTCCTTCCTGTGTGGCCTGGCTCCACCCTGCTTATTTTGGGAGTGAAACAGGATAGAAGATCTCTCTCTCTCTCTTTGCCTTTCAAATAAAAAATGAATATAAACAAATACATTTAAAAAATTTATTTACTTGAGAGGCAGAGTTACAGAGAAAGAGGGAGAGACAGAGAGGAAGGTCTTCCATCTGCTGGTTCATTCCCAAAATGGCCGCAACAGCCAAAGCTGAGCCGATCTGAAGCCAGGAGCCAGGAGCTTCTTCTGGGTTTCCCACGCAGGTGCAAGGGCCCAAGCACTTGGGGGCCATCTTTTACTACCTTCCCAGACCATCAGCAGAGAGCTGGATCAGAAGTGGAGCTAAATAAATAAATAAATAAATAGATAGATAGATAGATAGAAGTGGAGCAGCCAGGACACGAATCGGTGCCCATATGGGATGACAGCGCCACAGGCAGATGCTTAACCTACTGTGCCACAGTGCCAGCCCCACAAATACATTTTTTAAAAGACTTATTTGGGTGCAAAAATTTTGCATAGTTTTTTTACAATATGCATTTTTCATGACCCCCCTGAAGGTCCCCAGAGGTGCTTCAGCACTAGACAGACAGGACGTGAGGAGCGTGCCTGTCTGCCTGTGAACAGCCCCCATGAGAGCTCCACGCGAGCTCCAGGACCCAGGTCTGTTTTTCTTTATCCACCCAAAGCACTCATTTGGTGCTGTAGAAGGTGAAGATTTTAATCTCCAGCTCACACACAGCTAAGTGAATCCAAAAGCACTAAGTGCCTAACTACAAAAAGAAAAGAAGATTGTAGCACTAAATAATCCAAGAAAATAATGATGTGGTTTAACATATTAGGCATTGAACAAATCAATCAGTATATTAATGTGGAAGATCTTATTTTTTTTAAAAATGTTTGTTTATTTCATCTTCTTTAAAGGCAGAGAGAGATATTCTATCTGCTGATTTCACTCCTTAAACCTGTGACAGTAAGGGCTGGGTTAGGTCGGAAACCAGGAGCCAGAAACTCCATCTAGGTCTCATACATGGATGGCAGGAACCCAAGCACTTGAGCCATCATCTATTTCCCAGAATGCACTATCAAGGAGCTGGACTGGAAGCAGAGCAGTTGGGTCTCAACCTGGAACTCTGATATGGCATTCAGGCATCTCTAAGGGAGGCTAACTCACTGCACCACAACATCTGCCTCCACCTTGCAAGATTTTAATAAGGGGCCAGTGTTGTGGCACAGTGGGTTAAGCCTTTGCCTGTGACACCAGCATCCCATATGGATGCTGGTTCAAGTCCTGGCTACTCCACTTCTGATCCAGCTCCCTGCTGATGTGCCTGGGAAAGCAGCAGAGGATGGCCCAAGTGCTTGGGCCCCTGCAGTCACGTGGGAGACCCAGAGGAAGTTCTTAGCTCCTGGCTTTGGTCTGGCCTGGCCTCGGCAGTTGCAGCCATTTGAGGAGTGAACCAGCGGAGGGAAGATACCTCTCTCTCCTCTTTCTCTGTGTCTTTCAAATAGCTAACTAGATTTTAAAATAAATAAATCTTTTAAAATATATTTAATAAGTCCTGCAACACAATTAAACAATGCATATTTAGAAAATAAATAAAAGAAAAAAACCAAAAAAAATAAAAGAAAAAAAAACAGAATAAAAAAATACAAATAAAAACATAAAAATAACCAAAAAATAAAAAAAAAATGCATATTTAATTTGTACTAGTGAGTATAAGTAGTTTATCTTTGTATCACTGGGACTTTTTTTCTATAATGAGATGACTTGGGCCACAACGGAAAAGAGAAGTGAATAGTTAAGAGTTCCCACATCCTCTGTCTTCTCCTACCAGATTTTCTTTATGTATTCAAAACAACCTAATTATAAGTACATGCTGAGGCACATGTGAGTGTGAAGCACTTCTGGAGTCAGGGAGACCCAGGTCCAAATCCCAGCCCACTATTTATTAGCTATTAATCTTGGACATATTACTTAACTTCTCTGGGCTTCTGTTTCCTTGCCAGGAAAATGGAGATAATGATAATTTCTTAATGACCATCATGAAGATGATTACAATAATAAAAATAATTATAGAGGCAGGTGTTTGGCACAGTGGGACACCTACATCTTACATTGGAGTGCCTGGGTTTGAGTACTTATGTCCTTGCCATCCATGTGGGAGAAGTGGTTCAGTTTCAGCTCTTGGCTTCAGCCTGATCCAGCCCTGGCTGATGTGGGCAGCTGAGGAGTGAATCAGTGAGTGGGAGATCTCACTCCTTCTGCCTGAGTCTTTCTTTCTCTTTCAAATAAATAAATGCAAACATCTCTAATACTTATTGAGTATTTGTGATGTGCCATGCATTGTATTATGTACTTCCCTCATTACAACCTTATCATATATATGTATATATATTTTAAAGATTTTATTTATTTATTTGAAAGGCAGTGTGACAAAGAGAGTG